AGGGATACACACTGGGAAGAGGTAACTATGGGGAGGAAGTGGGAGGGGAGCTGTTGCATTGTGGTAAACTGTGGTCAATGTCATGAGACAAAGTATATGTATACTGCTGTATGGAAAGTGAATTTGCTCTGTAAATCTTCACCCAAATCACAATTAAAAAAATAAAATAAATAAATAAAAATTTTCTATATTACCATTCAATGGCTTAATTATTGCTATGTTACATTAATTAGGAAAAAAATACTTCATAAAATTTTAGTTTTAATTTCTACTATGGTAAATATCCAGACACAACATAAACAAATAAAAAAGCGCTTTATGGTTCTGAGTAACTTTACAAGTGTAAAGGAGTTTTGACCCTAAAAGTTTTGAGAATTCCTGATCTAGATGTAGCAATGATGAGGAGTAAAAAGTTATTTACCATACCTTCAGGACCACTGGTAGGAGAAATAGAGGAAAAAAACAGCCTACATCCAGTTGGATTCAGGAAAAGCAATATACTCAGAGAACAGCCAGGTTTCAGTTGCAGCAAATTTCTGAAAAGACTCTCTCTCTGTTGAAATATCAATTTTTCTTTCTTTACTGTATCATTACCCTCATTGAGTGGTCTTGTTTTTATTTTTTATTGTACCTTGGAAAGGTGGTTTGATAGCTGTAGCTAACTAATAATCAAGATTAGTTTTGATATTTACGAGTAATTCCCTTTCAATATCAGAATATTACATATACCAACAAAAATACAGCAGAAACACAATTTTCTTACCTATTTCACTTCCACTTCCTCCATCCTGAACACTCCACAGGATGATGCTGCTCTCTGAAGCAACAGCAACCATTTTATCTTTGTCTCCATGTGGACCTCCAACCACTTTCGCATTTAGAGCTACCCGTTCAATAGTCCAATCCAAATATGGGCTTGTAAACACTTGTTGCCATCCTGAAGATTCCTTGATTCTGTTAAGAAAAAACAGATGCATAAGTTACATTCAGCAGCAATTAAGCAAAGAATACAAACAAATACGCCCCCCCCAAAAAAAGTTAACCATACTCACTTTTACATTTATTAAATATAAAATCTTGTTGACATGTCATGTACAAAGCCAGAATATTACTCTTGACTGAAGTTATCTTATACTTACATAACAGGATATATAAAGTACTTAAAAAGAGAGTAAAGTTCTGCATTTTTCCAATGACATTTAGAAAAGTTCTCTAAATTTAAAAACAGAGTTAAAGCTTACAATAAAAAAAAGGTGATTTCACCTTTAACTTTTCTCCACAGAAATTATTATTGTCATTTTGTACACATAGGAATACATCAACAAAATCAGAATCTGGAGATTATATTGAAACTACCTACACATAATCTGGTCCTGCAGGTGACAGTCTATCCAGGCAAACTAAGGGAGTGATCTGGTATACCATACACATCCAGGATCTCAGCACAATCAAAGGAATAATGGGCAGAGCTTTAGAAATGTTTCTATGAGGAATGTTTTTAAAGACCTAGGTACAAAATCTTATGGAACTATTTGTTTTCCATGAACAAGGGGCTTAAAAGGGTTCATATTTGCAATGGACAGAAAGATTGGGCAATCTACATCCATAGAGATACTGCCTCAGAAACCCAAGGAGAGAGTGACTATGAGTCAGATCTGACTCCACAGCTGCAAGTCTGTTTTTTTGGTTATACACAGATGTACTAGTATTTCTCTGAAAAAATCCCTTTCAATTTTATATGATACTTTTCTGCTCTATCTGGATTTGTCTTTTTAGACATGTATTCTATGAATAGAACAAATCATCATACATTTAGTACCTAAAAAGTTGTGTGATTAAGAAAATGAATGACTTGAACTTGAACGAACTATGAGACATCTATACTTAAAATTACACTAAACAAATGTTGGAAACGAAACTATAAAGCTTCTCTTTGTCTTACCTAAAAAGAATAAATCAAACATGAAAAATTAAGAAAAGTTGGGGTGGGACAGAGAAGGGGAATAAAAAAGAATTAAGAAAAGTTCTTTTATATAAGGATATGCCAAAATCACATTTAGATATTCAATCATGGTCACCAAAAGACATAAGTGAAAGCACTTTAGCTTCATTTTAGTTTAAATATATACGCTAAAGCACTACAACTCAAATTCATATAAATACACAATTCAGCCTTCGTATTAATTGGGAGCTCTGATAGTATAGTGCATAAGTCACCTGACTGCTAACCAGAAGGCTGACGGTTCAAACCCACCAGCCACTCCTTGGAAGGAAGGTTGGGCAATCTACTTCCATAGTGATACTGCCTCGGAAACCCAAGGAGGGGTCACTATGAGTCGGTCCGACTCAATGCAAATAACAACAACAACAACATTAATTTGAAAAATTAACAATCTGCTTAAATTTTAAGGCAATACAAAGAAAACTATATCGATTGTCCTAAAAATTGTATGGTTTGCAATTACTCTCCTCAGCCACCAGATGGGATTCATGTGTTAAGCTAAACAAATAGAGATAATTACCTAATAAACTCTAAGAATGCACATTGAGTAATGAAATATAGATGTTTTTATAGGGACCATCAGACTGGGATTGTCAGCACTTCAGGAAAAGTGACATCATGTTGCTTTGTGGATGTGCACATATACTTGGCGCTAACAGAGTTCCATAAAGAATTGCTAAATTGAATTAATGACGTGAAAGATATAATCTGGTGATCACAAATTTACGAATATAAATATGATGCAATGTAATATTTTGCAGAGATCATGAGCCTAAGTTAATTTTCTCTACAGCCATTAGGAATATAAAATAAAGATAAGACAAACAGTAAAAGAATCAGAACAGCCTATCTGAAAGTGTTATGACAATTACCGAATTTAATTCAGTAGGGTATGAGACCAATGTAGAGCCTTATTCTGCCAGCTTCTAGAACACATAAGACTGATTATTAGAGATAGAGTATCATGGAACTTAAATTAATAATTCTGACTACAGTAGTTTAACATAATAGTTAACAGATTCAAAATCTAGACAGGAAAGGAATAATATCAAGACATCTCAGTTACATCAGTTTACACTGCCAGGGAAATATTTAAGACATGTTAAAGCTATCAGTAATATTTATCTAATTAGCTGTGAAAATAAAAGCAAACTAAATCTAATTAGGAGAAACACCCCAAAACCCAAATGCACTGCCATCAAGTCAATTCCATCTTGGAAGGACCCTGTAGGACAGAGCCGAACTGCCCTCAAGGGTTTCCAAGGCTGTAAATCTTACAACTTTTTTTTTCCCCCAATTGTGATTTGGGTAAAAGTTTACAGAGCAAATTCATTTTTTATTCAACATTTCATACACATTTTGTTTCAAGACAAATAGTGACTGCAATACCACAATCTAAGAGCTCTCTTTTCACTTCCTGCTTATAGTTACCTTTTCCCTGTGTCCTGCTTTCCTATGCACTCCTGCTATCTGAGCTCACTTTCTATGCAAATGATGCCCTTCTGATCTCCCATGGCTGACTGTTCTAAGGATTTTACCTTTGTGGTGTAATTCTTCACCCTGTAGGCCTGTCTACCATTTGGATGAAAGCCACAAGAGTGAGTTTAATTCTGAGCCCGAAGGGTGATTAGGAGCCACAGTCTTGGGGGTTTCACCAGTCCACCTGGTCTTTTTTGATTTTGAGGTTTAGTCCACATTTTTCTCCCACTCTATCCAGAATCTCCATTTTTGATCACTTTTGGAGTGGTTGGCAGTAGTACCTGGGTACCATCTAATGCTTTTAGTCTCAGGGTCATGGCTCCTGAGGTCCACTAGTCACCTGAACTAATTGTTTCCATGTATCTTTGATTTTCTTCACTCTTCTTTGCTCCAGATGAGGCGAGACCAATTGTTGCATCCTAGATGGCCGTTTGCAAGCTGTGGTAGTTATGTTTGTGTGTCAACTTGGCTGGGCCTGGTTGAGTGGCTGGGCAGCTGGTGGTTGTTCCCCATGATGAGACTGGTAATCAACTCCATGGTGGGATCTACCACAAGCAGCTGCCTTTGGGTATGTGGTCTGCTTCCCGTACATAAGCAGCAGCTCTGGGAACGGTCTCTAGCCTATGGCACGCTTGGACTCTGCATATAGCCGTGTCGTTGTTTAGCAGACTGCCATGCTCTGCCGACCTTGGGACTTTCAATGGACTTAAATTAATAGCCTGCCATGTAGTCTGGTAACATCAGGACTGTGCCTATTTACTTATTAACCTCGGGCTTCTCAGCCTCAGCAGTCAGCAGCTGTCTGAGTAAAGTAACGCCTCTAGCTCCAGTGGGCCGGAAGCAGGAGGCAGAGCTGAACCCCAAGGTTTAGGGGCTTTCCCCCAGCCCCTAGAGACTGGCACTTTGAACTTAAGACTTAAAGCCTCAAAACTCTAAGAGTTTGCTAAAAGTGAGGAAGACATGAAACACTTACTGATGAAGATCAAAGACTACACTTGTCAATATGGATTACATCTCAACATAAAGAAAATGAAAATCCTCACCACTGGACCAATAAAATAAAGCAGCATCACAATAAATGGAGAAAAGACTAAAGTTGTCAAAGATTCATTTCACTTGGAGCCACAATCAACACCCATGGAAGCAGAAGTCAAGAAATCTAACATCATATTGCACTGGGAAAATCTGCTACAAGAGACCTCTTTAAAGTATTGAAGAGCAAAGATGTCACTTTGAAGACTAAAGTGTGCCTAACCCAAGCTATGGTATTTTCAATCATCTCACATGCATGTGAAAGCTGGACAATAAACAAGACCGAAGAAGATTTGATGCCCTTAAGTTACAATGTTGGGAAAGAATACTGGAAATACCATGGACTGCCAGAAGAATGAACAAATCCATCCTGGAAGAAGTGCAGCCACAATGCTTCTTGGAAGCAAGAATGGCCAGACTTTATCTCACTTACTTTGGTCATGCTGCCAGAAGGGAGCATTTCTTGGAAAAGGATATCATGCATGGTGATGTGGAGAGTCAGCGAAAATGGGGAAGATCCTCAACAGGATGGACTGACAAAGTGGCTACAATTATGCTCACCAAATACAGGAAGAATCGTTGAGGATGGTGCACAAGTGGGCAGTGTTTCATTCTTTTTTACATAGGGTCACTATGAGTTGGAGCCTACTTGAAGGCAGCTAACAACCACAAGAAGACTTCAATACAACGTTGAACAGAAATGTTAATGGCAGGCATTCTTGTCTGGTTCCCATTCACAAGGGGAATGCTTTCAGTCTCTGCCCATTGAAACTGTTGGTTGTTGGTTTTATATATATGCCCTTTATTAATTTGAGGAATTTCCTTTCTATTCCCATTTCACTTTGAGTTTTTTCAGGAATGGATGCTGAATGTGATCGAATGCTTTTGCTGCATCAAATGATACGATCATGTGGTTCTTTTCCTTGGTTTTACTTATGTTGATTGTTTTTCTAATGTTGAACCATCTTTGCATACCTGGTATGAATTGCACTTGGTCATAATGTATTCATTTGTTTATTTTTTGATATGTTGTTGGAATTTACTGACTAGGATTTTGTTGAAGATACTTGCATTTATCTTCATGAGGGATACTGGTCTGTAGTTACCCTTTCTAGTGGTGACTTTGCCTAGTTTTCATATCAGGGTTATGCTTGTTTCATAAAATGAACTTGGAATTATTTCATCCTTTGCCATGTTTTGAAATAGTCTGAGTAGGACTGATGTCAGCTCATTGCTTTTTTCTACTTTTTTATTTTGATGAGGATTATTAATTTTCCTTGAGGGTACTCTGTGATTTATTACCTTCTTCCCAAGTTTAAGAGTCTGTTCTCTCTCAAAATCATCTTGACTTCTTCTCCATTTTGAAGTTCTGTACTTAAACTATTTATTATTCCCTTTTTTTGGTTTGTAATTGTCCTCATTTACCAATTGATATCTCTGTTGTTGTTATGTGCCATCGAGTCAGTCATCCAAGTTTATTTTACTTTGGATATATCTGCATCTGGATTGGTTTCTGGGTTACAATGTCATGTGTGTTAATCATCAGTTATTGTCTGCTATTGTTGGTTCTCTGCCCAAAGGACTCCCTTTAGCTTCTCTTATAAGGCTGATCTGGTTTTAACAAATTCCTTTAATTTCTGTTAATCTAGAAATGTTCTAATTTTGTTATCATATTTGTAGGATAATTTTGCTGGATATGTAATTCTTGGTTGGTAGATTTTTTTCTGTCACTGTTTTAATCTCATCCCATTGCCTCCTTGCCTGCATGGTTTCTGCTGAAAAATCAGAGCTTAGTCTTATTAGCTGCTCTTTGTAGTTAACTCTTCTTTTTCTCCATGCTGCTTTCAGGATTCTTTCTTAGTCTTTGTTGTTGTTGTTATATGTCACTCAGTCGGACCCAACTCATAGCGACCCCTCCTTGGGTTTCCAAGGCAGTATCTCTATTTGATTACGATATGTCTCAGTGACTTTCTTTTAACATTTATCCTGTTTGGGGTACACTGAAGTTCTTGAATGGGAATCTTCTCATCTTTCATCATATTGGGGAAAGTTCTCTTCCAAGAAATTTTCAACAGTTTTCTCTGTGGTTTTATTTGTCTCTTTTTCTGGAATTCTCATCACACATAAGTTCTTCCTCTTGGTGGTGTTCACAGAAATCTTAGGCTGTCTTCATTTTGTTTTGATCTTTTTTCCGAATGATCCCTTAACTAAGCAGTACTGAGAGATTTGTCTTTAATTCTGTCTTCCATTGATTCTATTCTATTCCTTTGCCCTTTCAATGTTTACCTATTTCTGAAATACTAATCTTCTGGATTTCTATTTCCTGTTTTTGTATTGTATTTTTCATTAATTTTGTCAGTTGATTTTTGTATTGTTTATCTAAATTATTCTAGAGTTTTTTCTGTGTTTTCCTCAATTTCATCAGTGTTTTCCTTGATATGTCTCTCAATTCCAAGACTGTAATTCTATACGGAAGCTGATTACCACATTTTTCTCATTTGGAGCAATTGGTGGGTCTGAACTGCCAACCTTTTGGTTAGTAGTCGAACGCTTAACCACTGAACCACTAAAGCTGTTAGCAGATACAAAAGTGGGTAAAATATATAGGGGGGAATTAAAAGCTGGTAATTAAAGAAATACCTCTTCAGTCTAAAAATACAAAATCAGAATTATTTCAAAACTTGCATTGTCTGTTAGGTGCCATCTAGGTGATTTCAACTCACAGTGACCTCAAGTGACAGAGCCTGTTGCTAGATGCAGTCAAGTTGGGTTTCTACTTATAGTAACTTTATGTAGAACGCAACAGTCAGATGAGTGGTAGATGCAACAAGCAGAACTACCAAAAACTAACTCACTCAAAAATAAAAGTCAAACGATCATTAAGTAGTTAGTACCTGTAACACACAGCAAAATGGGCATATGCAGCTACAATCCAGTTGTGATGGCCAGCTACTATTAGCACCTTTCGTGGATCCACAGGAAATCCTATTGATTTTAGAAAAAGGGACATTTTAATGCTCTGAAGCAAGGATCAGCAAACTACAGCCCACTGGTCAATTCTGACCCTCTGCCTAGTTTATAAATTTAAGTCTTACTGGAGTAGAACCACACTCCTTTTCTTACGTATTTTCCATAGCTACTTTCATGTATAGAGTTATGTCACTGTGACAGACATTCTTTGTTATCCACAAAATCTCTAACATTTAGTATATGGCTGTCTACTGCCACCTCGTTAAAATTCAGAGCAAACAAAAGGGAGATCACGTACACCGCACATAAAAATTGCAAGCCGAATGATACTTTTCAAGATATAAATGATAAATCTAGACTTAAAAAAAGATAAGGCAAAAATCACTTGTTTAAACAAAACTATTCAATATCCCCTATTTTTCTTTATCTATTTATATCATCAGTGCTTACCTAGCCTAACAGACTCTTCTCCAGTTCCAGAGAGAACAGGCTGGGTACCATTTCCCCGAGCTTCACCTTCTGCAGAATTTAGTCCATTTCTAGAATCAGCAGAGGATCTTGCTGTGTTGTTTATTTTACGACTAGGAATACCTATAAAGAGAGAATAAAACATTATTTCCAAGTTCACTTATTAACCATAAAAAAAATTTTTTTAAAAATCAAATTTTAATTATGGAATATAAAAGTATGAACTTCATAACAGCCAAAACATACCAACTAATATAGCATGCTACTACAAATAACTTATCATAAAAAATTTTAAATATTCAACAGATTTCTGATATTTACCATATTACTTATGACAATATATAAGATTAAAATCTATCATATTATGTTCCATTTAAACCTAGGGCTAAATCACTAAAATAAATCTGTTGTGAAATGAATTCTTTTATGCTGTCTTTTGCCTTGGTTCTTCTCCATGAAGCCTTGAGGATTTACCATTGATTAGTTCATAAGCACCAGGGTTACAGGTGAGGAGAGACAACTCAGGGACGCCCGAAGTAGCAAGCGGGAAGAACAGAAGAAAGGGGATTAAAAGCCAGGAAGCCAGAGAGAAGAGCAGTCAGCCGAAGGGATTAGGTGAGGAGACGTAACTCAGGCCCGCCCAGAGTACCAGGCCGGAAGGGCAGGAGAAAGGGGATAAAAAGCCAGGAACCCGGACAGAGGAGCAGTCAGCCCCAAGGACAACTCAGGGACGCACAAAACAGCAGGGCAGAAAAGCAGGAGAAAGGGGTTTAAAAGCCAGGAAGCCAGACAGAGGTACAGTCAGCTACAGGGACCCAGGTGGGGGTGATACGAGAGGTCTCCAACTGCAGGACAAACTTGTCTGTCAGTTTGTCCTACTGTGGTGACATGTAGACTTGAGTTTTGAGGCTGAGCCTCTGGTGTTTAAAACCCAGCAAGATGCACCTGGTGCACAGGTAACAGCCCAGCTTATAGACTGAGACAGACTAGGAAGAAGGAAGAGGCCATCCACTTCTCAAAGAACTGGCC